CTACAAAATACCTGAGTCCCTTTATAGATAGAGTTGAGACATCGCGGCTTATGGATGTCACAAAAGGGAATAATCGGACGTTTTTTGTAATCTTTGATCAAGCCATTCCCGAATCCCTGTCTTTGTTCCCTCTCTCATTTCATTTGTTCCTTGCCGCACCCTGAATTCCTCAGTCCATTCCACTTTATAATGTTTGCAATTGGTGAAACTGTGATCTTTATTCCCGTTTGTTACACTTACAAGGCCTAAAATACGGGAACCAATCAGAAATGGATTCGTGTTGTCCTTAGTCTCAGTATAAAGGGACTCTACAAAACACCCGTGGAAAACCGCGAGACATGAAATTATTGAAGCTCTCAAAATTCGGCAATCGTGGATGAATGCTTGATTCAGGAGCACGTCTCAACCTCCTGAAGTACGTGCTCATTCCGTTGCGTGAAGAGGCGCCGTCCTTTTGTCCCCTCTCCCAACCCACCCCCGTTTAAAATGACACGTTCACACTTTTTCCCCCGAAATTGTGTCACCGCCAAATTTGATCACTTGTTGCCAGAGTAGAATCCTCCTGAAAAACCGTGTAAAGAAACTGCGATAAATATCAACATGAGGTGTCATGTCTAAAAATAAGCAAACAAAAGGAAAAGTTTATTTTCTCAGCGACACAATATTTGATAACAGACTAAAATGTGGTGTTTGGAAATATATCATATTATGTTATGTTTGCGAACCAAAAATAGAGGCGTGCAACCTTGAAATGTATGCTGGGAAAAGCAGGTTGGCCCCAGGGGATGTAGCCGCCTAGTATCCTAATAATAATGAGTTAAACTCAAAAAAAAGTTCGGTGTTGCATATCATCCCAACTTATTCGGTTTGTCAAACTGAATTTTCGGTTTATCACATCGAACTTTCAGTTCGTGTAACCGAATTTCTGCGGTAAAGTGAACTGACGAACCAAGTTTGGTCTTATATGCCGAACGTTTGGTTACGCGAACCGAAAGTTCAGTTTCACAAACCGGATATTTGAGAAGATATGGAACACCGAACGCTCGGTTCACATGAACGATTTTTTTTTCAGTAAACCGTGAATATTGTCAAAAAAATAGCCATACTGCTATGGTAAATAAAATAAATTAGTACGCGTAGTAAATTTCACATACACTAACAGTAATGTCTCATAAATCCGAAAATGTTCGAATTCTCTTGAACAGCATAATTCTTTGTTTCAATATGTTATGGAGGGTTTTGTAGGCTGGAAAAAATTCGGCTCTAATTTTTAGACAACGTTTGATAAAAGACTTTGATCTCTTGACAAGCGTGTAATCTGAAACACAATAGAAGCGATGAAACAAGAAAACCGTGGAAAGTTAAAAAGATCCGGGCTTCAAAACTTTTCGGAATGTTCGCAAGGGTTTTTTATCGGGGGAAAGTTTTCTTGAATGATGCTTGGGAACTAGTTTTTAAGAGGGTACATAATTTATATTTTTATTTGAATAGTTTTGACGTATTGTGCGCGATTTGAGCTTGGGAGAAAGAAAAGAAAGGTGACCTTCTTCGTTTGTCTCATCCCCTTCTTCCGATGTTCTCCCTATCCCGACTCCAAATGCGCTTGTGAATTCGTAATATGTATCCATTGCTCTCAGTTTTCAGCCAACTGCTAGATCTCCAACTATCTTCTTATTGTCGTTGCGTGGCCCTCTGCAAGTTATTTTTGTACACAAGTTCAAGTAATGTACTCTTTACAATATATAAAAAAGGAATAGTATGTGTAGATTCTGCGCAACCTGTTCTAATTTAATTTGTTCCCCCTCATTGTGAGCAAATTGATACAATTTACCGAAAGATTTTGTGAACAGAATGACTCATACTCATGACTTTGTTGACTATCGGTAGGCCATTCACTCAATGAACAAATGAAGCATAAATGTCGCAATGGTTAAATCGGATCAGAGCCCATTTCACGTTACTTTTCCTCTATTTTAAAATTTTCTATCCCGCGTATACAGCAAAAGAGGGAAAGGAATCTAAAACTGGCTCTACCAGGCTTTGTAAGGCGCCAATACGGTCCAGAATCTGCATGGGTAAAATTTATCGCTACTTTTTCTTCTACCTCATATTATGCGATTTTAAATGAGAATAAACCAATGTATGCAGATTGTAGGTATCTTTTTGTCCGAAATTTAATTCAAGCTTCCCCCCTTTCAGTATTGAAAAAGTATAAGGGATGATTTTAGAGAAGATTATAGTTCACGGTTTTAAAGTTTTGAAAAAAACTTTTGGAATTTCGTCCAGAATTGTTGGTTTCCCAGTCAAAGCCGTTCGAAAATAGAAGCAAAATTAAAAGTTATAATTGCTAAATCAAACTAATTTCATCAAACTTTCAACTTTCAAAGAAAATGGCTCAACCTTTGATTTTGTCTTTCAGACTTAACTAGGAAAAGAATAAATAAAATTATTGAATAAGACATACATTATTGGACTTCAATGGATCTTAGGCTATGTTACAATGCACTTTCACCCTGCTAGCAGCATTCAGCTTATTTCTTTTTACGCTGTCAAAATATTGGTCATACACTCAGTCAATAGCACTCAGTCTGTTATACGACAAATATTATTTTCTTCGTCGTTGGTATGGCGCTGATTTTGGATATTTTCACCCAGCTCACCTCGAAAGCAGGATTAAAGAAGAGCGAAATAGATAACGCTTTGCGCCGGAAGAGTCCAGCATTTCCGCGACTGCAAACACACCATGAGCAAGAGCATTTTTTGTTACGCTCAGTTTTTAATTTACCAACCCCTCCCCTCTCCCGCGGCCCCTTCATATCTTCGGAAAAGTTAAACAATATACTCGCGGATGCCTGCGACACAGGTAAACGCACATAAATATAAAAAGCGGGACGTCAGCCCATCTCTCGTCTCGTTGCCGAAACGCTCGCAGATAAATTTAATCTGCGAATGAAAAACAAATAAATTCGTCAACAAATATTTCCCACTCGATCATAGTGCTACCGGCCGAGAGTACACTCGATATTGGAACGAAGCGACAGGAGGGGAAGGGGTGGGGGGGAGCATTGGGCTAGATTACAGGATCCACTGTCAGTTTAGCCGGAAATGTATTGCCGCAAAAAATAGAGGAAGTGAGGGGCTTGCCCGCTCCGGTTTGGGGCGATTCGCTCTTTCAGGAAATTCTACCGTCGCATTGGGGTATACGGAACACCAACTTTTCACAGGGCCCACGTCAAAATGTTGTATAGAACTTATCAGAAATCAAGGGTGTATTTTTGTAATTTTTTTTGTTTTTGGGGTTTAGAATGCGATACATGATACAAACGGAGGGCGATGAGGTGTTTGGTAACATTTTGCGATCTTGGAATGAGCATTTCAAGTGAAGAAAAAAACCTCGGATCTTCCAGGAGGGATGGATATTTACGCGCCGAGGGGCCCTGCACAAAACATGTAACGCTAAAAATTGTTACGTTTTACCCTCTCAATCTCCCCGAAACGCACCCTTAACCCCTCTTTTCACAAACTAATATTTCTTTGCGACTTTGAATTTTTTGCACAAGGAAATATACAACTAGAGGATCTCAAAAACATTCTTAACTCAATTTTTTCGAAAATGTGGGTTGGTTCCTTTCTGATGAACTCGGTTCATAGATACTGGTCGTAAAAATTTATGCTGTACTAAAATTCCGGCACTACAATAGAAATTAAGGTGATTGGATTGGGGAAGGAGCGAGTTGAAAATTCCCGTAAATAAGTGGCTGAGTCCGGCGTCGTCGTTCCCGGTTTTTCGAGAAAAGTAAATACAAGGGCGTGATGCTGAATTCATCTGAGAATTTATCTCGGTAGACTGCGAGCTTTCCCCGCTGCCTAGAGCCCTTCGACCACCTTAAAAGTGGTTGTCGTTTGAATTTTGATTTCAATTGAAGCCGCAACGTTCCTGGATTTTTTCTCTTTTCTAAGCCCGTCCTTCGAAGCACATCTGAAACCCCGCTGGCCCCCGATTCGAGCAAGATTTGTACCTTTTTTATAATAGGACTGCGCAGACAACCGCCTAATTTCCTCCTGAACTTTCTCGGGGAACTAAATCGAGAAAGCCGAACGATTTCTAGCGTGTAGACTGTAGAGCTGTTCAAGATTGGTTTCAAGGAAATTACCATTCCCAGCTGCAGTACTATATATCCTTAATCTATCTAATTTTTTTGGTTTTCTGTTTCGTTTGTTTATGTTTTTGGAATAATTCTAATGATCAGTGCATATACGTGAGAAGTCTTCGGTCTCCTGTGGTAGTTTTTGTACTGCTTGCTCTATGATCGGCAGGTCCCATGTTCGATTCCCGGTCAGGTGACCCGAGTTTGATAGTCTCAAACAGCGGTTACCCAGGGCTGGCATGATTAGGGACTGAGGGAATGGGACTTCAGGGACTGCAATCGTGAGATTATCCCCCTGGAGATATTTAAAGTGCGCGCGTGTGTGTGAGGGGGGGGGACTAAATAGAAACGGCAATCCGTTCAGTAAATATGTAAGATGGACCGCGTTTAGCAGAAAGGAACCAAGCCACATCAGCTATTGCCAAATTTAAATGTTTACAAGAGAACACTTTTGCAGATTCCTTTGAAAATTTTAAGGAATATGCTTGTACTGTGCAGAAAATTCTCTGAAATTTGCACCTTAATCCACGCAACCGTTTTCATGGAAAAAATCAAATTGTCCAGGTAAATTTTGCATAGCTGATGTGGCTTGGTTACTTTCTGCTTGACGCGGTGCAGATGATATTTAGATTATTTTTAATCAAAATGGGGGGAGCATGCGTTACGTAATTTTTAGGGGGGAGGGTTATGCATGACGTTACGGAGCGTTAGAAGGGGGTTGGAGGTGTCAAAAAATCGCAAATTTAGCGTTACGTAATCTACCCTATCAGAATATTTCTAGGATAGCCTGCTTAGTGTGCTAGCGAGTTGTCTTCCGTTTTACGTCACTAAAGTTGCTCTCTTTTTTTGCAGATCGTTTGGGTGCAGCAGCAGCACGAGAAGCGGCGGGAGAAGCGAGATTTCACGGACGCGGGGTTTTCGGCGTGGGATTTTTCCCACCTCCAGCCCAACTCCTTTCGACGGGACTCCTTCTTCCCAGACCCATTGTTTAAGGAACAATGGTACTTGGTAAGTGATATCCGATCTCAATATCCTCTTCAGCCTCTCTGTCTCTTCCTTTTGTCTCCTGCTTTTGCATCCTCATGTTGCGATGCTGCAACACTTCGTACCATCCAATATGGAAATGCATCATGCATCGGCCATTCTTGTCGAATCGATATTTGTAATGGTCGCGCGTATAAAAGTGCATCAACTAAATTATATGTACTCTCGCTCCATGATTTGATTAACGCATTGAAATTTTGATCAATTAAAAAAATGAAACAAGCTGAAAAAAAACCATGGTGGATCCACACTATTTTGCGGAGGAAACAAGGCCAATAAGTTCAAAAATTTCATTTCATAAAAAAATGATCGATGTTGGCGATTTGTGATAAGAAAACTACTATTTTTCAGCGGTGGAGGAGGTGAGAATTTTTTCCTCCCTCTCAGCAAGTGACGATTGTGTCACTCATTCTGTTCGGATTTTTCTTTAGCGAGTAACAATGTAATTTATACTTTACAAAATCTTTGATTGCCAGTGAAATATCGTGTATCTTGATTCGATGAAAAAATAGAGAGCTCTCATAGGACATCTTCACCTAACGGAAACTTTAACTTTTCAGGTCAAGATCCGATACGAACCAAGAGTTGAGGTCCTTCCCACGTTCTTTTAAACGAAGTAATAATGAAGTCAAGTGGGAGAAAAGGTTCTTACGTATTTCGTTCAAAATCTGTCTCCCTGCACAAAATCATTTGTGTTCGGAATTAACTATCGCGGTATGACGCCAGATAAGTTTAAGTTCAAAAAGGTACCTTTTCATGTTCTTCTTATTGCAGGATTCTTTTCACCTCTTTCTTTTTTCCTCTCTCGTCGTTAGGAGGAGGCGGCGTCTAATTTAATAGCTTTTGATTTGAAGTGAAAGATCCTTCATGCAAAAAACTTTTTACCTTAATCAAAAATTCTGCAACATTTTTGTAAGGCTTCGTGAACTTAAGACTTTCATGACTGGAGTGTTGCCGAATCGCGTCGTAAAGCATAGAAATTTCCGGAAAGCATACAGAAATATTTGGACGAATTTGCAAAGAAAACCTAAAAGTTTTCTTTTAAAGGGTTCATTTCGTCCCATCTGTTGATGCTAACTTAGGTGGGAAGGTAATTAAAGGAGAGAGAGAAGCCCAAGAGAAAAGTAACGTGAATTCAATTCTGGTCGCAGGTTCTTGTTTGCCTATGGATGATAAAATAATAAATTCGGTTCCTCGCCTGAGTCGCATCTTCTGAGATGAATAGTAAACTCTGAACTTGTTAGTCAGTCATTGCTAAAGAATAACACCACTGCTTACAAAAGTGTCACTTTTTCGTAAATTCTTCCGAAAAGTAGACAATTCAAAGAGACAGGTGAGTATAATACTGAGCGACAGAAAACCAACTTTTTTGGAAAAAGAAAGGTCTGCTTGTTGAAAATGGTGAGCGCAGATTCGCATCTTCACGATGGGCATTTGCAATGTCCACTTTCCGTTTTGAATGTTTCATCGCTTTTGGTATCAATTATCGACGGTGTAAGTAGGCTATCACATAACTCGGTATCGACGTCGTAGACTTCCTGTCATACTTTATTTTTTAAATAGAAAATTACTCATCGGCAATTCTTGAAAACTGCTGTGATTTTTCTTCTCTGTGCGAAGAAAATTCAGGAAAAAACCTCAAGGAATGATGCCATTTTGTTCTCCCTTAAAAAAACGACAAAAAGGCGGAGATTTTCAGACACCGCAAACAAGATATGTGATTGCAGACCTACGTCGTCGCTACGTCGCACAGAGAATCATCACTTTAACATTGTCTCTTAAGCAGCTTTCCAGAGCACACTTCATCTTTCTCACTCGCACATAGTTCTATTTGGCAGAAATATGTTCGATTTAATTTAGTTGTAAGGTGTCTTTGAAATTTGGAATACAGTATTCTTTCGCTACAACACTCATTTTAACGAAAATCTCTCTCTTGTGAAGGAATCGCCCGGTCCCTTGCCGATTCGTTATAGCGAGAGAGTACTGTATATATACTGCTTCTTGAAATTCCCTGCGTAAACCTTAAAAAAAATTGCCTTTGCTTGACATTTTTCCATGCATACACCTGCTAACAGGTTTTCTGAGAATTGAAAATCCCGCTTTTCTATTTCTGCACAGGCAATCATGCCCGCCGCAACATTGATTTTTATGCGGCCTTCTAGAGCACACCCCATCTTTCCCACACGTCTATAGATCCGTTTCGCAGAAATACGTCCCGGTATGGAACGAGCGGCATTGCGTAGAGAATTTAGCCCTTTACGAAAATGTTTTCGAAAATTTTGCAGCTCAAAAGGTCGGTGTCGAGAGGGGGACGCTACCGGGGAAGGTGTTCGACAAAGGCCCGTTTTGAAAACACGTGTTCAGGATTCGAGCTCTCAAAAACAATACACTGCGGAAAAGCGTTGCGACGGCGCGAAGGGAAGGGGGGCGTTCGGCGAGAGTTCGCGATCTCGCAACTGTTTCAGCCGTTCGCACTCGCAACAACAAAAGCCAACTTAGAAGCGTGCCGGTAAACACGCAGATGCACGTGTACTTGGAACCGTGCACAAACATACGACAAACTGTGCCGGCCCAACCGCCCCGGCGTAGTCAAACTAGAATTTATACCCGCTTCTTGCAAGTTTTGTACCAGGAAGAATAATTCAGAAGACTCCTACGAAATCTTCTTGTCATTTTTGTATGATGAATGAAGTCATGGTTTGCCTTAATCGACGTCAAACTTTCAAATAATGTATAAATTGTGTGCTAAACTCACTGAAAAAAAAAGTATGGTAATATCCACTATAAGTCTACTTGATTTTTTACACAGCGATACTATTTAGTGAAAATAACTCAAATAATGGTAGTATTCACCAGAAATTTGGTAATACTTATCATAATATGGTGCATGCTACTGTAGAGTCTGGTGCTTATTACCATATCCGTATCACTGTGCCAGAATATGGTAAAATCTACCATACTTTTTTCCAGTACTTGCTTACAATTCAATCTGGGAGGGTCTATTTTTTTTAAAATTTTCCGGGGCGGCCCTCCAGACCCCCTTCCTCCCCCCGGACCCTCTACTCAACATCAACAATCGCCCCTCCCCCCTCTCCGACACACTCTGGATCCGCCACTTTTTTGATGAGTCTGGAATCCTATATGCGGCTGCAGGAATGAAACAGTGAAATTTGTCCGTGCTTCGTGGCAGCAAGGCCGGGGCGCCGGGGTCGGAGGTGCGTTGTGTCGAGACCCCGCCCCGTCGGCGGAAGGGGGTTTTCCGCGAACGGAAAATTGGTGCGAGGCGAGAAATAACAATTAATTAAGACAAAGAAGCCCCCTCGACGGTGTCGATGTTCACTGTTCATCATAGGAGCATAATTAAAAGTTTGTTCGCTCCCTCACCGAGCCGAGGCCGGATAATCGAGGCAGGAGTCAAAATTATTCGCGCGTGGGAAAACGAGACAACCCAGCCGCACCCCCTCCCCCCCCGCTTACGCCCGCAATCCATCGGCCTCGGGTTTCATTTGTTTAACGCGCGAAAATATGAGCTCCGAGCATTCATTCACCGTTTCCAATGGCGGTTTCAACTTCGCAGCTTCCTCTATGGAACATTGAAAGCCCTTCACCGGGCGGGATTACGGGGATATCGCTCACAACCAACGAGGGGGGGGGGGGTTCCGTTGGATAGTTTGAAAATCTATTCCCACCGCGAAATTTTCAGGTCGATTCCCAAAAAGACTTTGTGTCTTTATTATATTTTTTAAAACTGTATTAAGCCCGTGTCAAGCTATTTATACCATAGTCTGACTAATAATGTCCTGAAAAATTTTCACTAGTGGTATCATCCACTTAAGTGAACGAATGGAAATTTTATGGCGGTTGCGTGCAGACTTTGGACTATAAGGCTTTTTGACCCTGGTTTTAGAATTTGCCAAATGGATTTTTCTGTGAACTGTTGCTAGAGCAAAAACCAAAGTTGCCTCGTTAGAAAAGTGGCACAGAGTCACCTTATCCAAACATGAAATCAAATAAATTACTAAAGTGATATCATCGTAACTATTTTTAAAAAGCTCTCATTTTTAAAATTCATTTTAAATAGAATATGAATTTAATTGAATAAATGTGAAAGCTAATATCAGATGAAATAAATGAGAGGTAAGGTCCACACCAAATAACATGAAAATCTATCGAATATTAAATAAATAGAAGAAAGGCGAGAAATGTTGGCGCCCCTCAGTTGGCGTCCGTCGCGAGTGCGGATTTTTTGTGTCTCTTTGGCCTAGCTTATACACACGGGTTCCACGAGGTGAAAAAAGATAGAAACTTGATTGTAACTGGCTACGAACAATCGTGTTATTCATCATACTGTGATGTAAGTACTAAAATCCTCCATCGAGTTTCAGTAAGAGACTGTTCCGGAATGAAGATACATCATAAGTATCGATACATCGATGATGCGAGTTTGGTGGAAGTCTGGCGAGAGAGGCTAAATGAAATTGAACTCTAATAAGAGAACAACGGGGTCTTAAGCGAGGGAGGGAGGCGAGGATAAGCATCAAAAGCTTTTCCACGGCGCCGCGCCTAGATGCATGTAGGGCGCGGGCGTGTTGCGCCGCGCCGTTACGCAACCCGCAATGCCTGGCCGTGTTGAATTTGCGGCGGGCCGTGACGTCAGACGAGGAGACGTACAATTCGCGAATAGCTCTTAACTCAATTTGATCCGAGGCGGATGGTGCACGGGGAGGCGGGGGTAAGGGCGGGCGCGGTTCAAGGCTGCAAGAAATTTCAATTTGAGAATTTTCATAAGAACAGAACTTAATGCAGCATCAAAAATGCAAGCTAACGGAATTGTACGCTTGGAGGCAGCCATAAATCTATGAAACAAAGAACGCCAAACATTCCGCACCCCCTCTCCATTTTCAGCCCCTCCCGCGTTCCCGCCGCCGCCCCCACACACTCGAGACTCCTTGTTGGTGTATTGT